GGCGCGACCAGCCTGTACAGGCAGCCCGGCTGCAGGAGGTGGAACCAGCGCACGGCCCCGCCCAGGAAGAGCAGCTGCACCTGCCAGCATTTCGACCAGTTGCAATGGAGGAAAGGGGAATCATGTTCAAAGTCAATACCAGACATCATTTTATGATGAAAACACTAGATGTCCCTCTATGTCCGTTTATACTGGACAGTTGGCAACATCCTCCAAAAACTACAAGTATTTAAAACAGCACTCTTACACACTGAGTCTGCCCTGACAGCACTAGTAATAGTAGGTCTTTTTGCCTACAATTCTGCTATTGCAATTTTAGAGTTGCAAGCCTTGGGAGACCAGATACAGCACAAAGCACAAAGCTTTCATTCCCTATATTCCTGCAGAGAATTAGACGAACAGGACCAGACATTTCCGCCATGTGACCATCAGCACTGCAGTAGCGCATCTTACCCTGCAGGGGGCACCATTGTCCCCACTCTCTGTCTCCTCCGGGGGGAGATGGGTGTTATTGGAGTCCCCTGCACATACACGGGGCTCCCCAAGCAGCACAGCAGATGCTCCAAAGCTCATCTTGAGCCCAGCTGGACCAGGTGCCTGGTTGGAGGCCATATTGCGGAAGGACAGGCCCTCCTTCTCCAGGACCCGGAAGAGCACTGACACGCAGGGCGGCGGGGTCGAGACCTCTGACCGGATAGATCCAGCTGAGGTCAGAGTGCAGGCAGGGCTCGATGACAGTGGGGCAGCTCTCGGACCCGCTCCCTTTGTGCTCTGCATTCCTGTCCCCCATTCCGACTCTTCCACATCTTCAGCGACACTTCTCAATCTCTTCCTCGCCCCGCCCAGCACCCCCGGGTCGCCTGGAGTCTTCCTCGCTCCGCCCAGCCCCTCCGGGTCCCCCGGAGTCTTCCTCGCCAGCCCCTCCGGGTCCCCCGGAGTCTTCCTCGCCAGCCCCTCCGGGTCTCCCGGAGTCTTCCTCGCCCCGCCCAGCCCCTCTGGGTCTCCCGGAGTCTTCCTCACGCCGGGGCTCTGTGTCTGTCCTGCGCTGCGGAGCCGAGACATGGCCGCCGACGGGCTGAGCAGCTCCAGGTCACCAACACAGAACTGAACATATACCCTG